TTGCTACATGTTAATAAAATTTTTGTAAGGTTGAATTGCATTTGTTATTAGAAGGTTTCGAACGCATAAACTATGATTGTTGGCAGCCCACCTGCTACCAAAGACGATGCAAATGAAGATTCCGTGACAATACCGAGCGGACATCGTTGGTGAATCGCAGTGCGTCGAGCATTGGAAGCAAGGAAAGAAGTGCTGTATCCATTGGATCGGAGAACCAACTCTTAATTGGTATTGCATTATTTGGAAAACATCGATATGCGCCAGGTGAATTGTCTATTATAAATATCTGCAATAGTAAGCAAATACATATTCATTAAATATGCTACATAAACACAGAAATAATCATGGTGAGCTGTTTTCAAAATACAAATAGCGTTCAGCTAACCCTATTCAAGTCACTGCATATTGATGACAAGTCTTTGGTATAGGACCCATAGTCGGGCGTGCAGTGTTGTCTATAGTAGCGACGTCGCAGTATATTGCGACCATTGTCAAGTTTGTCCGCTACGGCTGCTCCATATATCTCCATGCTGGCGGTGAATACAACTAGATCGTACCACTGTGACACCTGTAATGAATGAACGATACCCATACGTTAGGCTTCGACACTGACTTGGCTTGAAACGTAAATAATTTAAATATAATCACTTGGATGGATTATGAACAAACAGTGGTTAATCAATCATTATCTGTACCTATATACATATATACAATCCAATACCTCAATATGAATATCAATGATTTCAGTAGCACGTCTTTACAGTGAATTAGGTTTACCTACAACTAGATTTCAGACCTAATGCAAATATACGAAATTATGACTAAATTTAACTTGCAAGACTACTCACCACATCCAAAAAGTAATCGACATGCGGTCGCTTGTGCACAAAAAACCGCACAGGATGCCTCTCGATGGTCACTTTAACGGTAAAGTCATGCGGCGTGCCAGGCTTAACGGTATTCCGGGGCATAGCATTGTGATGTGAGTGTATAAGTGTCTCATCCAGATCCAGGACCAAGGTCTTTCGCTGCACCAAGCTGAGTCGATGTCGCGATACGGGCGACAGAGGGAACTGTTCGTATTTAACTGGCTGATACTGGATAAACTAAGAGAGTTAATTTATACATTCAAATATTGTATATTCACAAATGGTTTGTTATTGTTTTTATACCCTGAACCCATTGAAAATGGGAAATCAGGGTATAATGGTTTTGTTGAAATGTATGTAACAGACAGAAGGAGCCGTGGCAGACCCCACAAAGTATATATATTTTTTATCAGGACGACGAGCTGAGTCGATTTGGCCCTATACGTCTGCCTGTCCGTCTGTCCGTATGTATGAACGCGTCGATTTCAGAAGATATAAAAGCTAGAGACTTCAATTTTTTTTTTAAATGTCCGTATATACAGCGCGGATATCGGGTTTATCACCCGTTATTTTTTATCGATAAAACCCTTATCGAAAATTATTTATAAAATTATATCTCCTACACCCTTAAAGCTAGAGTCTCCAAATTTTAAATGTATGTATAGCCCCCACCACTATATCCACCCCCTCACCTACATATTTGTAAAAGACGTATTTCAAATACTAGAGACTTGTGCTTTGGCAAGTACATGCATATCTATGCTTTAATCATAATCTAAAAGTTTCATGAAGATCGTATTTCCACAAGAAAAGTTATTAAACAATTAAGTTCTCAAGTAAGCGCACACTACAGTTGATGCGTGTTTAGGCGTGGGTGCTTGTGTGCGACACTCAAGGGACCGTCGATTTTACGTCGCTATACCCGGAGGACGCTTTAACCAGAAAAAATAAAAAAAAATTTGTTTTTTTTTTTCATTTTTTTTACGGTTGCCATGTTCGTAATAGATTTTAGTATAAAACAAAAAATTAAATTTTTAATCAAAACAACCATTTTTTATAAACTTCTTTCAATAACATGGTTTAGAAACATTTTTGTGATGTCGGCATTGTACTTTGTCTCTCTCTCTCTCTCTCTCTCTCTCTCTCTGTCTTAGCAGCATTTGTGGCGTTGCTACGCA